TCGTAAAAAAAAAAAACACATTTTCGAACCAAACTCCGCGGTAGAAACAGATCTATCTAAAAATTTGTAATCTATCTATAAATAAATAAACGCGAAAATATTTTTCTGTTATCAGAAAGTTGTTATCATTTGTGCCGTATATCGCTACGTCTCGATTAGATAAAAGACCGTATTTAGATAGGATCTCTGTATCTAAATATTTTACTTTTAAACCGATGTATAAAAATCGCGTTAAGTGCTACGTGTGTAAAAAAAAAAAAAAAAACTGCAGATCTATACAAATTGCTCGAATAACACGTACGCAATGTATTCTTTTTTTTCTTCTGTCCGCGGAATGTGTTTGAATGCGCGCTTTTTCATTTCCGCGTAGAATGGGACTTCGGGAAATTTAACGTTATTTACATTTTCACTATTTACAGCCAGTGGTCAATTTGCTCTGGTACTCTGGAACGAGTAACGCGTGTATGTTACGTACATACACGCTCCGCGCGCACGCATGAATGCGAGTCGTCGTCGTCGTCGTGTCGTGATCGATAAACATATAGATCGCGCAGCGCGCGTAGTAGAAACCGGCGTATGACAATAGACCGTGAATTCTCCCGCGCGCGTTCCTGCTGCAATACGCCGTAGAATCTACATTTCCATTTATATGGAAATTGCAAAATCACGCTTTTGTCCGATCAATTAGCGACGGACTATCGGCGGTACGTGAAATCGCGGATATCGCTTATTCGACCGAGGGGGCCACCTCCTCCTCTCGAACGCGTTCGTTCGTTCGTTCGTTCGTTCTCTACGACAACCTGCGCAGCAATCCATTACCGCGGAAGATTACGGGCGTTGGATGCGAAATGTAAAACCGATTAATACCGGCGCCGGTCGCGGGAATGATACATCGCTCCGATGTTTAAGAGATCGCGCCGAAAAAAAAAAAAAAAAAGAACGGACGCGCGAGTTGACCAGAACGCGGCTTCGATTTGCGCCTACCACCTGGGTGGTAGGCAACAAACATTCGCGGAATTAATTATAATTAACAGAGAGTAATTTGTATCGCGAGCGTGAAAAATACAATTACGACGATTAAAAAACTGTGTCAAGATGATGAAGCCACGCGATGATATCGCAAATGAAAAAAAAAAAAAAAAACTGTCCGGAATTACGTCTCCATTTAGATGGCTAAGCCGTTATTATTAAAACGTCATGAAGAGTTGTCAGATGCAGATAAACAATCATTGTCTACGTAAAATTTTATCTCTTCCGTTTTTTCTTTCTCTCTCTCTCTCTCTTCCCCCGCGTCTTCTCTTTCTTTTTCTCGTTCTGTTTTATAACGTGACAGATAATGAAAGCACCACGGAAAGGTTTAAAATACATATATATATATACATATAACTGAAATAACCTGAAAAGCTTCACCTCGTGCGCTATTTAATAAACTAGACTCACAATGGACGAGTAATGAAAATACTGGCGTGCGCGCGCTCAGCAAAATATACCCGTGAGCGCAGTTATCGCGCAGCGGAACGGCGTAACTTTATTTACATAAATAATTAAGTAAAATTTTAAGTAAAATTTACATCGCTTACGCGTCGTAAAGCAGCTTATCCCGCTCACGCAACGTGATGTTTTATAACGTAAAAAAATTTTTGCAAAATAAAAAAAAAAAAAAATATCGCGCGCGAAGCGCAAACTGAGCCGTGAGTTAGGAGAGCAAACAGAGCCTGCCGATACGCGAACCCCACGGAGGTTGAGAGTAAGCTTGCATGTGTAGACGACACGATATAGCCAAATCGATTAACACCGATTCTCTCTCTTCCTGTGTACGATGGTCAAAGAGGCGCGCAAGCTGCAAAACTATGTCATATAAGCATAAATAAAATATTTCATAGAAAGTGACTCTGCGCGCGCTCGCGCCGCGGCTTCGCGGAGCAAATGTGGAAAGCGCGATGCGTGGGTTGAGTCTATGAATAATGTCGTCGCGGTGAAATGCAGTCGCAAATTCTCGCACCTAATTACTCCCTGACATTGTCGCCGATAACGATCGATCAATCGAATCGAATAGCTTGTCATCTCACGTGAACGCATTGTGCGTTCGATTTCCTCCAATGTCGCGAGAGATTGACCCATCGTCAATCGACGATTGACAAGAAAAATAGTCCGCTATCGTTTTTTTTTTCTCTAATTTCTTTTCGAAAGATAAGATAAATTACAAGCGCGCTATTTTGCAATAAATAACGATTTTCTTTGAAAAAAACAATAAGTTTTTTTTTGGAAGAGGGGAGCAGTTTATCGCACAGATATACCTGTAATTATACTCCGATTGGTTTTGTTATCGCGCTAGACCAATCGTAAGTATCTGTTGTGCAAGAATATATGTGTACATATGTGCATTAGAGAGTGGAGAACTAGTCAACACACGTTGAGACACACTCAACGTGTGACTCAAGAAACTATCAGCGAAACACGTTTTATCTACCGTTTCGCGGCGCGCTCTAAGTGATATAGGTATCCGTCTAATTTCACCGATAGTGTTTCTACGTGTATCAGTTTTTGAGGTCGCGGATATTGATACATCACGTTCCCGATATCACTCTACCGTTGCACGACAAAACTAAAATAAAACATGTTTAAACACACATTTTTTTAATTTGACACACGTCAACCTCAGTTTTGAAGCCTATATATATTGTGAAACATAATAATGAGAATTAATAACGCTGACATTTGAAATACGCTGACATTTTAATCTTTCCGATGCTAATTTAACTTGTTTTAAACGTCGAGTTCGTTTTATGAGATTTCTGCTCTTACATACGTGTGGGATGTAACGCGATAAAGAGTAACGCTATATGCGTTTCCTAATTATTAAATTTGCCGCGAAGCACAACTCCGGGTATAAAATGCTTTTGCTGAGTTAAAGCAAAATTTCGCAGAGCAGATGTTTTATCGAAAAAAAAAAAGAAAACAACAATCGTAAATTACACGTCACTTTTGCGCGTGCGCGCGAGAGAATAATTTTTCAAATAATTTTCAAATAAAGTGGAATGAAAAAAAAAAAAACCAGGTAACACAATGAATTAAGAATTATATTAAATTCAGCGACACAACAAGATTGAATCTTCAGGCGCAACTATTTTTAGAACTTTATAACACTTGTATATAATATACATATATATATATATATATAAAATATTCTTTTGAAGAAAAAGCATGTTCCACTTCGCGCAAACAATGTACACGTTCCTCCGAGCGTTCAAGAAGAGCTACGTCAAACGGGGTTAAATATAAAAGTTTCGAGGGTCTATAAGAGAGTTTCGAAGAAACGCGTGTTAGTGCAGCGATTAGTGCCGACGATACAGCCGCCCCGACGCCAATTGTTAATCGGCGCCACGTGCGAGATATATATATATTATTTTCGAACGCGTAGTGTGTTCCTCGAGAGTTGTTTGTCGTTTTTTTTTTTTTACATGTATGTAGCGCGCGTTTCGATCTTTTCATATCTCGACCTCCCAGAGAAGCTCGTCATTGAAAAAAATCCTCGGCGATAATAAACCTTCGATCGCTCTCGCGCGCGCGTACTCATATACCTAACACGCTCTCTTCTCGGCATCGCGTCGTTGGACGCGTCGTCAGCATGATTTCGACGATCGAAGTGCAATCGGCGCTGATAAGAACACGTCGTTTCTACGTGGCCACGTAAAATCCCCCACGTAAGCGCGCGTAACACACACGCGGAGCGCTCGTTGAAAATAAATGCGAGGCGATATTGCTCGACGCGCGCGACGAAGCCCCCGCGATCGTTCTCTCTCCCGACAATAAAAAGTAAGACCCGCGATTCGTTTCTCGCGCGTTCGAATTCTGGCGAGCACCCTGGCCATTTTTTACAATAACAGACGTGTGTCATCGTTCACACTGGCGAAGAGGAGATCCGGACCTATACGCGATATAGGGACGAGAAAATCGATGTGCGGGAACGTTACGTGACGACGAACACTCGAATTTTGCGACTCACTCGGCTTATTTGCGAATGCAACAATTATACGCCTGCGTAATTACGCGCCGCAGTCCTCGCGTCTCGTCACTCAAATATCAGTTTATATACTCTGTGCCATTCGCATTTAACCGTTAAATGTGTCCGTCGGATTCCAACGTCTGTTTGTCCATTACGGCGATCAATGTTATCGCGTGCTGATTATCATACGGCGCATTTTGCGGACAAATGCGTGACGCGATTATGGTCTTTCGCCGCGAGACAAAACAACACGCCAGATTTGATCGAGAAGCGTTTTCGGTGTTGATTTATAAACACCGACACCGCTTCCGTTTTGAAGGATACTTCCGTTCGCGCTCTCATTATCGTCGATGACAAAAAAAATTCACGTAACTCCCATTTGCGAGTTCGGGATAAAAATTGAATCACCTACGTCGAGTAGATTTTTTCAAATACAAAACAAGTGCCGTTTTGAAATACAAAAACTGTGTACGTTTAAAAATAACAAATAACTACGAGCGGATATTCCGCGCGCGAATGTAAAATTAAAACACTTGGAAGAGAACGAAAGTTCAGCATAAAAGGCGAAGCTATGTTAATAAGTTTCCAAGGTCTATCGACTGACTATCGTGTCGATTTACATCACAAGTCGATCCTCGGGAAGGAGGGGAAAAACACGCGGCTCGAAATGACACAGCGTCGTTGGAGCCGCGGTTTTTTTTTTTTTCCTCCTCGACGAAGAGGAACCGCGTCTCCGTCGGGACACGACTTGTCTCTCTCTCGTCGGATCGCGACCGAGAGACGAGAGAGAACAGAGATAGGCGAACGACGTGTAAAAGGACGAGCGTTTGACAGGTCGCGGCTGTCACGCGAAAACGTTGACGAGTGTCGCGCGAACCGACGGAGGGGGCGGCGGGAATAACGCGCTGGGGCGAAGCCGAGGAGGTCGGCGGCGCCGGGTGCGCTTACGCGGACCCACCGTCGGTGTTGTCGCTTCACTCGCGGGCGAACTCACCAGGTGCAGCACGGTGTTGACGACCTCCCGATTAGACACCTGTCCCACCTCGACCATGCCGATCAGAACGGCGAACTTGAGGCTGTCGTTCATCGCCATCGCCACCACCTCCTCGGGCCGTTTAATGTCACTGAACGGCGGGCTCTTGAGGTCCGCCATCGCGACGGCGTTTTAACGCGACCGCGTCGCGTTCACACTCGCGAGGAGAACCGGAGTCCTACACGATCGGTCTACGAACAGAGAGGTTACGGTCCTGCTCTCAACGGGAGCGTTTCGCCGTCACATGATAATACAACACAAATTGATCTGCCATGTTAGAAAGTGGGCACTGTTGTGAGGGGCCTGCCAGCCGCGCCGGCCCGAATGTTCCTAGACTAGCGACACACACACACACACACACGTACACACGCACACGTATATGCGCCAACGCGTGTCGCGCCGCCGCGGCGCGCGCATGTGTCGTCCGCGTCACGCGGAATTTACGTAGAACCTTTTAAACGAACGTTTCGAGGCCACGTTTCATAAGACTGTTAATTTCATTATGTTTGTTATATATATAAAGATAATTATTAGAGAGAGAAGATTAAAAAGCTATTTTAACATTTAAAAGCTATTTAAAAAAATATGTTTCTTCTTGTCAAATTCGTGTGTGTAAACGATTAAAAATTTATCCTTGTATAAATCAAAGACCTAACACATTTATATGTATATTAGCGTTTTTACCTTATCGCGAAAAAAATTAAATCCCAACGAAATTGGAAACGTACGTAACGAATTAAATTACGAGCTTTTAACTTGGCTCTTTAATTGTGTTGGCACTTTGGTCAGTGCTGCACCCTGTTGACCGTACTTTGTACATCGCGTGTGTATACACACACACCTCAATTGCATTTACGAGCACTCACAGAAATGGCGTCTGCTCTCTGGTCCCGTCTGCTGCACATGTTTAGTTCTTACTGATTGCAGTGTGCATCTGAAACAATATTTCGCATTATTGTTTGACTCGAATCACAAAACTGTTGTGCAACATTTGTGTTTTCTGAACAGTCGTTTCTGTCATTTATCTTTTTTTCTTGTATTTAAATTGGTATTTAAAATTTGATAGATGGTTATTACATCTACTTTAAATTTTCTTTTACAATTGTATTTGTGAAATTTTGCATTGAATTAACTTTTAGTTTGTATAAGTTTTTCAAATATCAAGATGACGTCAATGTTCGATCAGTACGAGCAAGCTTCTCAGCGCTCCAAGCAAGTGCTTGCTCCACCAATTCGTCCAGATATTGTTAGTTTATCATCAGGCCACATTTTTAAATAAATACACTCCTCAATTGCTTACAGTTGTATTGTCGTTTCGTAGAGCACAGCGGGCTTTATTCAAATGAAGCTGCAAGATGACGGGCCGATATTTACCAAGCAGAAAGTCAACTTCTTACCGTCGGATAGAATTCTTCACCTGGTTGTCAGTAGCAATACAATTGTAATTGCTATGGCCAACAACATTTTGTTGCGTATCGATATGAAGCAGCCTGAGAAGACTGAAGGTCATTATAAAAATATATACTTATCTATAAATTATGCATGTGTATGTAGTAATTATTGTAAAAACTGTAATAAAACTATATTACAATTATAGTGAAACCTGAATCAATAAGCAGAAAATTGCATATTTTTATTTACAGAAATTGATATATCCAAATACGCATTGAGTATGAAAATGTCCGGCTTGTTTCTGGATCCACTGGGTCATCATTTGCTGATAACTTTGGTGCCCAAACACGGGGATAATCCTCCTCCGGAATTATACTATTTACACAGAAAGACAACAAAGCTCAAACAAGCCGGCAAGTTCAAAGGTCATGAAATTACTGCTGTGGGTTGGAATTTTTCGAATACCTCAGAAACTTCCTCCGGTCCCATTCTACTCGGGACCTCCAAGGGTTTGATATTTGAAACAGAAATTGGACTGGAAACTGACAAGATTTTTAACACAAGTCTGGAGCAGTATTGGCGTCAGGTAGTAATACCACCTATGTCAATAAACTCAGTGATCCATTTATCTGTATATAATGTTCTTTCACGTTACTCATTTTTCATTAAGCTTCCAAATTATTTACCTCTTTACGGTACGAAAGAGGTAGGAGGATTGGTGAGTTCAAAGTTAAACAGCAATTGACCGCTAAAAGTTCATTTAGTGGTCAATTTAAACATATGTTGCATCGTTGATGTAAAAACAGATTTTCAATAACATATTATTTTTATAATAAATTATTTTCTCTGATGTGTTGTGATGTTTTAGGTATTCGACATTGGAAAAAATAGCAAACCTCCAATAACTGGAATAGAGTTCCACAAAATACCGAATTCTGATAAATACATGATCATTGTGACAACTCTCATGCGCATTTATCAGTACATCGGTGTCGTTAGCAATCCCGAAGAGAAACCTCTTTTGCAGCAAGTGTTCTATAGATATTTGAATGCGCAAGGTATTATCTAATGCAAAAATATTTAACTTAAAATAATGTTTAATGCATATTTATATAAATAAATTCACGGAACTGTATATTTTAATAAATAAAATGTTATATATTTTTACAGAGAGCTTTAGTGAAGTGATAAGTTCTCTGCCGTATTCAAAAATGCAATTTTATTATCCATCTCTGGGTGCTGTGCCGAAATCATTCGGATGGTTAACGGAAACTGGTATTTTATACGCCGAGGTATAATTACATAATATTTCTCAACACGACACAATAGTTCGAAAACTGCAATAAATACTTGATACGTATCTAAAAATCAGCGTTACTTAATTTGTTTTTCTAAATTTTTAGGTTGATGCAAAACCAGATACAAACAACGTGCTGGTAAATCAGCAGATGTTAACATGTCCGGAAATGAGTCTTATGAGCAGCAACATTCCAAAAACGACATCGACGCCTTTATCTTTTGTATTGACGGAATTTCATGCATTGCTGTTATATCCAGATCATGTAAAAGGCATGTCGCTCCTAAACCAGGAGTTGATATTTGAAGACGTTTATAATGATGTACGTAAATATTTTTCACAGTGGTTATATATTCTTTTTTATTCTAATGTAACAAACTTCTAATATAACATAGCTCAATATAGCTAACTTTTTCTCGTGAAATATTAAAAATTGATCGTACATAATTCAATGGGATTTAGGCAGTTGGTAAATTAATTGGCATCACCAAAGATCCCGCAACACGATCGATCTGGGCTTATAGCGAGCGGGCCGTTTTCAAGTATAAAGTAACAAAAGAAGATAGGAATGTTTGGCAGGTACAAAAATAAAAAGTATAAAAACTTTTGAGACTGGCAAGAGGAACATATTTTCTGTGTTTATAGGTGTACGTCGACAAAGGTGAATTTGAACTGGCTAAGCAATATTGTAAAGACAATCCGGCGCACATAGACCAAGTGCTTGTAAAACAGGCGGAAATACTTTTTAAAGAGAAAGAGTGAGTTTCTTTATGTGTTCAAAAATACTCTTTATTTAACTTTTTATTTGATCATAACTATTTTTGCAGATACGAGAAGAGCGCGCTAATATACGCGGATACTCACTCGTCCTTCGAGGAAATATCATTGAAGTTTCTACAAGAATGGCAGATCGAAGCCTTGAAAACATTTCTGCGCAAGGTGTGAGATCGATATTTATTTAATTTTTCTTTCTGACAAAAAAAGATAAATTTTACTGTTTGTTTTAAGAAACTCGATGGCTTGAAGACACAAGATAAAACACAGATAACGATGATCATAATTTGGGTGATAGAGCTGTTCATGAACCAAATGGGAATTCTGCGGAGCAGTAACACATCCTATCTTCACGATCCGCAATATATAAAACTGCAGAAACAATTCGACAGTTTTCTCGCCAATCCCAAAGTCGAGGTACTAAGTAAGAACAAACATATAATGAGCAAAACGTAGAAAAAAATCAAATATTTTATCGTTTGCACCGCAGTTCCTGTTGTACAAATTATTGTTGAATTCGAATCAAATTTAAAAAAAAGATTAAAGTAAAAAGTTTTCGATTATAGGAATGCATCAGAAGAAATCGCACGACGATATACGACTTGATGGCCAGTCACGGTGATAAAGACAATCTGATACGTTTGACAATAATGCACTGCAACTACGAGGAAGTAATCCGCCAACATCTGTACAAGAATAACTACTTGGAGGCGCTTGGAGTGCTCAAGAGCCAGATCAACCAAGATCTTTTCTATCAATTCGCCGGCATTCTGCTTCAGGAGTTGCCGCGGCCCACAGTTGCCGCTTTGATCTCACAGGGATCGTCATTGGAGCCAACAAAACTTCTACCGGCTCTGATTTCATGCAACAGTGATGACAAGCACGTAAGACGAAAAAACAAATAAAGTTTACTTTTATCGTTTCGATCTTAGCTACTTTTTATTTGGCTAACATTAATTATTGACAGGCGAAAGAGATTATTAAATACCTGGAGTTTTGTGTATATAAGCAGGGCTCGCAAGAGCAAGCGATTCATAACTTTCTTCTGTCTTTGTACGCACGTTACAAACAAGACGAAGTAATGCGATATATAAGCTCTCAAGGTAAAATACATCGCATTGAAAAACATTTATAGTCTAAAAACTGAAGAAGTTTATAAAATTACGCCGATATTGATAAATTTATTTATTTTTTACGTCAGGTCAAGATGTCAGCATGGTGCACTACGATGTGCATTACGCGTTACGATTGTGTCAGGAAGTAGGTCTGACGGAAGCCTGCGTGCAATTGTCGGCTTTGCTCGGTTTATGGACCACCGCCGTCGATCTTGCCCTTACGATTAGCGTGGACCTCGCCAAGCAAATCGCAGCCATGCCGTCTGATCACGATGACGAGTTGAGAAAGAAACTCTGGTTGAAAATAGGTATTTCTAATATTTATCTTAACTAGAAAAAGATCCAAGTTGAAAAAAAAAACTTTAAGTATTGTTTCTTGTGATACCGTAGCGGAACATGTGGTACGAGAAAAAGACGACATAAAACAAGCAATGGAATTTTTGCAACACTGCGATTTAGTCAGGATCGAAGATATTCTGCCGTTTTTTTCTGATTTCGTTACGATTGATCACTTCAAAGAAGCTATTTGCAATTCCTTGCAGGTGCGTTAACTATTTACAAATGTTTGCGACTATAATTAGAATTGATTCGATTTTATCAACTTTTTTTTATGAATGTATATAGGAGTATAACCAACATATTCAGGATCTTAAGGAAGAAATGCAGGAAGCCACAAAGGCGGCAGAGTTAATAAGAAAAGATATTCAGGCTTTCAGAACCAGGTATTATGTAAACAAAGTTAAATCTAAATAATCGTGATACTTAAAACAAATGGTTAACTTCATGTTTGACACACACACACACACACACACACACACACACACACACACACA